TTATTATTATTATTATTATTATTTATATAGCATCAACATATTCCACAGCCCTTTACAATTATAGATTGGGGATATTTGACAACAAGTAGTTGACATAAAAAATATTAACAAGACTTGCAATCTATGAGGAAGTAGTAAAGACACACAAGAGAAATATCCACACGTCAGAGGGGAGAAGGGATTGATGCATATGATGCCTGTGTCAAGCTAAGCTGGTAAAAGTGGTGTGTGCAACAATGGAACATTGGAAGGAGAGAGAGTGAATTGGGCTGTGGAGGGGAGGGAGTCGAGGATGGCAAATATAATGAGAAAAGCATCACCCAGGAATATGGTAAAACATTTCTAAAGAAGTTGTTTTTTTTTATATCTACTTAAAGAACTTGAGGCTAGAGAATAGTTTGATGGGATGAGGTTGGGGTTCCCCTAAGAATGAGGCAGACCTTTAAAAATCATGCAGATGAGAGTTGTTAACATGGGAAAAAGCAGATATCAGACGGTTGCTCGCAGAGCAAAGGAAATGAGCAGGGTTGTATTTGTTGAGTCAAGAGAAAATGTAGTGTGGAGTAGAACTATTAAGGGCTTTGTTAGCAGTTGGGTGGGTGAGTGGTGGGGATATCAGCTACTAAGGAACTTGAGCATGGGGGCAACATTCACTACCGTCTGAAGACGAGAATTGCCACTATTTGGAAGGCCGATGAGTATTGAGTTGCAATAATCAACTTTGTTCAGTGACATCTGTGGACCTTTTTACATTTACAGTGACCCAGCACACATTTCAATTTCCCTGCTCAGTACCATCTCATTGAAATACCTGCTATTAAGAAGAAAGCATGGTCCACATGGACTATGAGCACAATACACTCCTCATTGCATGGTGGATTTCCATTTACACAAAAATGATTACCACTAAAATACTCCTCTACGACCTGTGGAAATAAATCTAGTATTACAACTCTCAAATGGAATTCATGAAATATAAGAGCAAACTGATACTGGATAAACACTTGGACACAATAATGGAGACTAAAAAAATATACTTGCAAACCAATGTACATTAATACAGGAGGTAAACAATAAGCTAATTACCACATTACATTGTAATGAATATCTGAAAAACAATTAAAACCTCTGCCATTCAGGCACTGTTGACGTATCTGATGGATGTCTTAGGGGTAACGGTTCCGTCTATGGACTCGCAACATCTTTTCCTAGCCAGGTCTTACAGGCTTAATAAATCGGGTGGCCAAAAGGCCATCACTGGTTGATACTTCATTATATTAAATATTCAACTGTGGCTAAACCCTTGGATCGTCAGACTTGGCTGGATTTGGTAGGGAAACAAATTCCTTCAGCTGTTCTTTTTACTTGAAATCAGATTCGATAAATATTTGATATGTTGAACATACACTGCTAGGTTCAGGTACTTGGCTCAGGTACTCAGGGAAAGGGAGGTGACCAGCAGAATGTGATTTTATATAATTACAACAAAGATATGTCGATGAACTCATGTATCAAATCATACTGCCATGATCGTGAAGTTCAGTCATTCCAACCAAATATCAGAATGAGGACTACAAGAGATCTGAGAGACTTTGATCATGTAATGTTTATGTAGACAAGATTGTTTGAGTATCTCAGAAACTGCTGATCTTAGAATTTTTATGTGTAATAACATTCAGAGCTTACAGAGAATAGTGAAAAAAAATCAAATAGTGAGAAGCAGTTCTGCTGGCAAACAAATATTGGTAATAAGAGAGATGAGCTAGTCTAGTTCACGCTGGTACAAAATTTTATATAACTGAAATAGCTAAATATAGTTATTCAAAAAAGCACATCTGAACCCAGAACATGTCAACTTTAGAAGTTGTTGGGCTACATAAGCAGAAAAACACAGCAGCGTACACTCCTGCCAATTAAGAACAAGATACAGAGCCTATACTGGGGGGCATAGGTGCTGCAATACTGGGCAGTAGAAAATTAGAACAGCAAATTTTACCAACAGCAAATCAAAAAGTTGCCTGCACACTATTCCAAATCCATAAACACATGTAAATAACAAGAGTACCACTGCAACGGCCATTAAAGCGCAAGCTCATCTGTCTGTCAAGGGTGCCAAAAGGTCAGGCTGGTGGAGCTGAAATTGTAAATATGTTGTCCATTTTGGTAGGTCCTATTTTAACACCCTAACTCCTGCTCTTTTTAAGATTAACCAACTTACTTCCTTCCTCCTGGGGGTTGGGGCTTGGGGCTCTGTAGCAGTGCAAGGTTAAATAGGGCCCTGGAATGAGGCATCTGTGATATAGAGGAGTATAAGAGTGCTGCTGGTGCCAATTAATGCAATATACAGGTTCCAGGGCACTCACTAAACAGAAACTTCAAAGCTCATACATTGTAACAGTTTATTTTTTGTTTTAAACAAATACCTGACTTGAACAAAAATAATGAAATAATGGGGATTTAGTCACCATATATGATCATACATTGCACAAGTCTGCCACGACACCAATAGCTTGGAAATATATAACCTGCTCAACTGGCTTAAATGTGAATTATCTGGTTCACTAGAATTGCTGTCATCAACATAATGTCACTCCACAAGCTCTTTTATGTTTTCATAACAACCCTCTTCCTTGTTCTTCTAAAACTATTAAAACAAACAGACCATTTTAGGACATATTAATTTGGAACAAAACATGCTCTAGGGGTAGTGGCACATACTTGGCTGCCACTATAACAGTAATCTTGGTGTTCCTAACTTCATTCATTTTTGCAAAGCTGTTCATATGTCCAATTAGTGGAACAAAGGCTTAGCTGTCTGTCTTTGCTGCAACTGGAGGACATCTATTTGAAACCTTTTTACACTATGTCAATTGTTATGGCCGTCTCTTTATAAGAGACTCAAGGTTCTTAATACTCTTGCGAACATCTTATACAGTCTATACATTTGACCTAAATTCAAGTCTTTACACAGATCATAGACTTCTTGTCTCCTGTTAGATCACTGTTTTCTCATGAATTTTCTTTTACAGACTTAATGTCCTGGGGTACAGACTTAACAATGATTTATACAGAATTGCAGATCTGTTTAAGCTAAGCGCTATTTTTGTTTTCAGACATTTTTGTCTTTTGATGTAGATCAAAGTTAAATATCTGCAGGTACCATTCCTTGCTGCTTCACTGCACATTTAATTGAGGTTTGTTACATATAGTATTGGTGTACTGAACTATTTTTAATTAATTATTTGCTAAACTTCAATATTAATTTACTTAAAATTGCTTCATTTTTCTTGCAATCTAGTGGGTTTCTATAGTGCCAGGAATACAAAGTTGTATTTCTGGCACTATCACTCCCCCTGCATCCCCTCTCCCTTGAGCCCTCTCCCCCCCCACCCAGGTGAATAAAGGGTTATAAGCCCTCTGTTTACTCACCTCTTCCCAGCGCCGTTGTCCCTTTAGAGCTGGGTCCTGGCTCTGCCCCTTCGATGGGCGGGCGCTAATACGCATGCGCTGCAAATACCGCAAATACCATTGAATCAATGCTTTCCTATGGGGAAATATCTGACGCATTGAGCTCCTCATGCAGAGCATGAAAACGTCCAGCGTCAGATATCGGACCAAAGGTCCGTTTCGATACAGGAAGCGCTCTAGTGGCTGTCTGGTACATAGCCAGTGAGGGCAGACTTAGAGCTGCAATGTAAAATTGCAGTATCTCTGGTACATCAATGTTTTACATTGCAGCACTAAGTGCAAAAGGGACACTGCACCTTGACCACTTCAATTAGCTGAAGTGGTCTGGGTGCCTACAGTGTTCCTTTAAGTACTTCAAACTGGCTTTGTGCAAATGTATATGCTGTATTAACAGTGTAGTCTTCGTGTTCTTATATGTATCTTACTGATTATTGTATTATTATAATTTATTTAGATATTGTATATGATTGATTGTCGTCTGGAACTAAACCTTCATTGACTGCCTTTGAAAAACATGTATAGCCATGTCAACTTTAGCCTGAGCTCTGAATCCATACTCTCCTTTGATTGACACTTTCTTCAACAAGAAGTAATCTAGAACTGTTGTTGTGGCTCTGCCTTTTGGCAAGGACAGTGAGTTTATAAAATATGTTCTCAAATTTAGACACCTTTGAAACTATCAAGTAAACTGAGAATAATTTAGTAAATTTACTGAAGACAGACAATGCATAAATATCATTGATACAAGGTGGCAAGCAACCACCTTGCTAAATTTCATAATGTTATGAATTTATGGAACGTTTTATGATTTCTGAAACTAATGTAAACTATTAAGTTTCTCCCTGTTTTTGCTGATAGTTAGCAAGGCAATGGAAACATAGTCAGTGCTTGACATCTCATAGAAAATCTAACTATATAATGCATGCATTGCCAGATATAAAGTTTTCAAAATTAAAATTTATTCACACACAGACACTTAAAAAATCATTAGCCAAATTATTCCAGTCTATTCTGCTTTGGCAGGATGGATAAATCTGTTTGCGAGGGATTAATGGTACCCGGTGTATGGAAAGACTGGAAGTTGAACAAATGCCTGCACCATTTGATCATCCATATGTTAATAAATATTTAGGAAAACAGTTTCCACGTTGATGATTTTATTTCTGATCTTGAAAATGTATCCTTGAATATAGAACAATGAAAACAGTGGTTTTGTTATGAAAAACAGAAATATATTATTTAGGAAACAGATAAGCATCATGCTTTATTAATTTGAGATTGACCTTTGAAAATCCATGCAAAAATATATTATTCAGATTGCTGGCACAAATATGACACTACAAAAATAACTAAAACTTTAGTACATTATTTGAAAAAAATCACACATAACCAACCTTTGAAAGAAAATGTATTTACCAAATTTTTTTGTCAAGTTGAAAAATATTAGGAATATATATGTTAAGACCGAGCCTGTAGTTGTGGGAGGGGTTTACTGGCCTATTTAAACCCATACTTACCTCTAATCAGGGCCGATGCCAGACACCTTTGGGTCTACTTCCAGTTCGCCACGGCAGAGCTCCTATCGGCAAGGAAAGAGATACCCTTCACCAGCGACTAACCTCAGCCAAGCGCCCATAGGGCACCCATACCGCCCGCGTTCCAGCCAGCCTGCCACAAAACAGGCTCCAGAACCTGTTCCCGCCGACGTCCATAAAACCGCATCCGTACAGCTGATCACATGAGTAAGTACTCCCCCCATCGAGCTCGCAACCCCTTACCCAGCACACGCCTCCCTTCTGTGTTCCCGCGCCTTATCACTCACGGGTTGTAAAGCACATTCAAGCAATACACGGTCCACTATGAGACACATGTACCTTATGGTCAACCTTAGGGCCTATTTTCGGGCTGATTTGGCAGTGGTTCAGGAGGAGGTGATGGTGGTCACAGATAGAGTCAGGGCTACAAGGAGGGGCTTGGGGCTATCACAAAAGGAGGCTGACACGACGGAACAGTTCTACCAGCTACAGACCTCTCTGGCGGCCATGCAGAGGAGACTGCTGCAGGAACCTCAAGGTTTGAGGAGTGGTGGAATCGGTAACCCCTGAGGAACTACCTAATTTCTTTAGGCGCCTGTTTACGGCCTTACAACCACACTGACACACAAAACAGACTCTTACAGGTGGAACCCACCGTCTTCCCAAATCTCCAAGGGCACCGACAGCAGTCCCTAGGGATTTCCTGCTCCGCTTCCTCTCCTTCAAGGACAAGCTGGCGATACAGGAGGCCTTGAAGATCAAAGTCCCGTTTGAATTCGAGGGCATGCAACGTACCTTCCTGCAGGACTTATGCACAGCCACTCTAGATTGGAGGCACTTCGTCCATGGCGTCACGAAGGCACTCAGAGAAGCCGGTATCAACTACCGATGGGGGCTATCTTCCAGCTCACAGCAGAGGCCTCCCAATCATTCCTGGTGCAGCTGGGCTTGGCTCAGGAACCAGTCTCCACATCAGCTAAACACACATCCTGGGACGTACAGAATATTGTCCCCTTTGTACCAAGCACAGGAGTGGACATAGGATGAGGAACCTCCTGCAGATGAGACTATGCCAACCGGGTGATGTGCGGCCCTCAGGAAGCAAGCAACACATTCCGAACTCTGTCGAACCAGTCTCTCACATGCCTACCTGCTCTCCCCCCCCCCTAAGGATACCCGGGGGTTATCGGGTTCTTTCACTATCTTGGCTCACCTCAGTAATGTCATATCTGACACTCCCAAACATAGGTCTATATCGTAGGACCCCTCGCCTCTTGGCCCACCACTAAGTAGGAGTCGCTTGGCAGCTCGGACCGCAGTATAGCTGTCTTCTAGGAACACGACACGCTTCATTATCCTACACATATTATGGCCATCAGCTGAGTCTACTCCGGTCCCCTGGATAGACCTCACGAGACACCCCATAGACCCACAACAGTTATCAGCAGCACGCTATACATTAGGTTTTTGTTTTTTTAATACATCAAAACCACACCCTCAGTCACCACACACAATGGTACTAATGTGTACAAGGCCCTATGAACCTAATGTTCAACGTTCTCCACACATGTCCATGTCAAATGTCAGAAAATATAAAATGTGCTGTGTAGTTTCAATGCTCACCAAAATGTACAGAAAAGTTGATCAATATCTGTTTATGCTGTTGGGGCATTATAGTTCATGTTATGTTACCATGTGCAATAAAATAAAGAATAAAAAAGAAAAAAAAGACAAACTAGAAGGGAAGGATGTAAACCTAGTCTCCCTTCTGATCACAAAACAAGAACAAGATCTGGTTGAGAATAAGACTTACTGCTATGGGGGCATTTCCATAGTACTTAAGGCCAGGGACCCCAGACTCAATAAGAAATTATCCATTCCCATCCTTGTTATAGTCTTTGTCCTGTACAGGGATGTCATTTGCTCTGCTTCCCCTCAATGCAGGGAGGAGCTTGACATATACCTCCACAAATCAAGTATGGAGGCTACTCTTTCTATGATTATCATAGATCATTCTCGGCAAAGGCGGTGGCAGCATTGATCCAATTTAACATATGCTGCGACTGGAGCCAAATCGACACAGAGCTGTTCTATCACCACTTCGCCTCCGTCTTGTGCCATATGTGCACATACCTCCATACCTCCAATCTGTGCCTCATTGAACTTAGCTCACCTTCTACCAGCCAAGCCGAGCCCATACCCAACAAATCAGACATGGTACTCAAAGACAAACTGGGCAGGCCCATCGTCTTCCTAGGCAAGGTGGAGATATGCAATAACTTCAACGCTGGAGGTTGCAGCTTCAGTGCTGGTCGGTTGTTGCATGTCTGTTCCCTATGCTTCAGAGCACACACGAAGATGATGTGCCCCAACAGACTGTCCCCTAAGCAATGACTCACCAAAATGAACATTGAAAACCTCACGTATTATCTCTTCAGTCACCCCTCGCTACACTTTGTCAAATTTCTTACCACGGGGTTTACCAAAGGGTTCCACATTGGGCTCTCACGGGGCACCTTAGAATGTAGGAACCTCTAATCAGCCACCTTAGACCCAGACACCACGGACACCTTGCTCGCAGCTGAACTTCACCACAGGTTCATAATTGGCCCCTTCAAACAATCCCCCTACTCCAACTGAGGAACAAACCCAATCGGCATAGCCACAGGGAAATTTAATAATAAAACATGTTTAATCATTGACCTCTCCACACCTCATTCCTTGTGTTCCTAGCCTTAATGCACTCATACAATTAGGAGAATTCTCACTACAGTATGCCACAGTGGACAATGCCATGGGAGCAATATTGAAAGACGGGTATGGCGTATGGTTAGGGAAGACGGACATATTAAATGCTTTCATGTTGCTACCCATACATCTGTCGCTGTGGCATTTACGGGGGGTCAAATGGAGGGGCCTATAATATTTCGCCACGCGTCTGACGTTTGGGGCCAAGAGCAGCCCCAAACTTTTCTACACATTTGCCGAGACACTATGCTGGCTGCTCCTAAACGTGTGCTGCTGCCCAGTGGCAATACATTATCTAGACGACTTCCTCATGGTTGAAGAGCCCAGGAAAATACCCCACAGCATCAACAAAACAGTGGCACTATTGTCCTCATTGGGGGTCCCCTTGTCAGTAGAGAAAACGATAGGTCCCTCTACCAAGCTAACCTTCCTAGGTATCCAACTAGACTTGGCAGCCAGTTTGCCTAATGAGAAAGTTCACCGCATCAGAAATGAAATATCAGGGTTTCTGCACAAAAATAGTTGCTCCCGCAAAGAACTTCAGTCATTACTCGGCTCCCTTAATTTCGTCAGCCGTGCATTTGTATCATGCCTACTGCACCTCCTAACTGAGGCCCCTCATGACAACACCATTTTCATCTACATTCATCTCAAAGCAGACTTACTCATGTGGGGTAGATTTATCTCATCTTGGAACGGGAAATCAATGTTTTTTTACCTCCGCTAGACAAAGATTCTCCAGTCATATTGACTGACGCAGCAACCCAAACAGGGTTCACCGCCTTATACAAAGATCAGTGGTTCCTAGACTCATGGCCCACAGATACCCTGACACTGCAGGCATTTTGCACCACATCCACTCTATTCGAACTATATCCGATATCCCTACACATGGGGTTCACTATGGGAAGGCAAAGCAGTCAAATGCCTCTCCTATAATGAAGCCGCCTGCGAAATTATCAACAAAGTGAGGTCCTCCTCACTAGTCATCATGAGACTCATATGGAGACTCACATGGCTGGCAGCCTTACACAGTTTTCACCTGGTTTGCATACACGTACCAGGCCAAGAAATCATTGCAGCTGACCCTCTCTCTTGTTCCAACTTTCAGGCATTTTTCAAACACCACCCTACAGCGGCCAGTATGCCTGATGTAACCCCAGCTTTCCAGGACCTGATAATGGACCTCCTAAAACAACACGCCCAGACTCTGTCAAAATCGGCCTTGCCATATAACACCAGGAAATCCTACAACAGAGCACTGACTATCTTCACCAGGTTCACATCCGAACACCACATCACGACACTTTCTCTATAGACATGATAGTTGCATTCACCGCTCACTGCTACTTACATCTAAAGTTGGCACGATCAAACTGTAACTGACGGGAGTACAACACCACCTACTCACCTCATGCCCCACTCACAGACCTTTTTTGTCATCCTATCACCTGAAAAACATCCTCAAAGTCATACAGCATGCTATCGATTGCAAAAAAACAACCGATAGATGGGGATAAATTCAAGGCCCTATCAGAATTATTTGAACCCCGTTCTAACGGTAAAATCAAGGCAGCCATGTACATCGCTTTCTACAGGTTTTTACGACCCAACAAATTCACAGTGGGAGGACTTTCCTGGGAATCCGGCCTATATTAGAATTAGGGATCTACACAAACGCGGTGACCACTACATACTGCAACTAAGACGTTCTAAGACAAATCAGATGGGCCCTCCAACTGAGGTCCAGTACTTTCCAACGCACAATAAATGGTATCCAGTGGATACCTTTTGCTTCTCTATCACAGAACAACAGAGCTACTCACCTCACAATAAACCACTTACCACTGCTAAGTTCATGTACTACGTGAGGGCCATGGTCATTAGAGTAGGCCTCGACGCAATGTCCATCTCAGGGCATTCCTTCAGGATCGGCATCGCATCCAACGCATGCAGCAAAAACGTGCCAGTACACATCATAAAGAAATTGGGCAGGTGGAAATCTGCAGCCTACAGCAAATACATCCCACAGCCGGAGAGAGAACTCAGGAAAGCATTCATAGAATTGATCATGTAACAATAGAAGCATTAAAAGCGTTATAAGTATTAAAGCATTAAAAGCATTGTCGGTAGTCGGTTGTAGTGTGCCTGAACCGACGATCGGGGAGGCCTGAAAAAAAACGAGGGCAAAAATATTTAATCATAACTCATTTAATGCTTCTATTGTTACAATATACCACAACAAGAGGACATAGTCTTAAATTAGAGGGACAAAGGTTTAAAAATAATATCAGGAAGTATTACTTTACTGAGAGGGTAGTGGATGAATGGAATAGCCTTCCAGCTGAAGTGGTAGAGGTTAACACAGTAAAGGAGTTTAAACATGGGTGGGATAGGCATAAGGCTATCCTAACTATAAGATAAGACTAGGGACTAATGAA